CATCGATAGTAACTCGCCAAAAGATTCGGGTGTTTATAGTTCGGATTTGGCACCAAGTGAATATTACCTGTTCCTCTGTATGCCGAATGATTCTGCTGATTAAAAATTTGCCTCAAGAGAAGCTTGCGAAAATCGATTGCCACAGTTTTTTAACAATAGGGTTGAAGGTTTCTATGAAAGTGTTTATGAAACGTACCCACAAAAATAATTCTAACTACGTTAAATTAAACTTTCGAGTTAATACAATAATTATAGATTTATTTTTACTAGACCATATATTACAATGTATATCGAAACAGCATATATCTTTTACATACATAGTCAGAGGAAAATGAATGTACATGTAGTATACATTAAGAAAGTACAAATTACTCGAAAAGCTCACCCAAGAAAATTCTCAATAGCAAAGAAGTGAGTAATCATGAACTCTAAATAATTAAAGGGTGAACATGTTTCACCACAGAATAACAGCAGATAGCGAACCATTTTCAAATATGTTTAGGCACAGCTGATGAACTTAACGAAGAGTTTTCGTGTAAGAAATACCCCCGTTGATTGAAAATTGCTTTCTTTTGAGGGTCACCATTCAAAAATCGTCCACAACTTCGGACTTTTTTTCAACCAACGTTTGCACCACAAGATCGATAGTCACCAGTGATCTACATAGATCAAAAATAATTCCTATTAAAGTGCTATTAGTACTACATTAAAGTGAACTTGTGTTATTAGCATTCGTAAACTTTTGTAGGTAATAATTAGACCGTTGCTTTCCTGTTAACTTTCTCACCAAATTGTGTGTTCTTATGCAACTGAAAAGTTTGTTTAATAATTGCGCAATAAGTACACTTTTCGGTGTTGATAATTGCATAATTCTTACACTTTCAAACTTAGAAATAAAGAAAGTTCGAAAATTAAAAATTCATAAAGTTTTTTTGACAGTTAAGAGCCCCTACATAATGTCAATAAGCGTAGGTGGATTGTGAGACAAGTAAATTGTGCATAGAAATATATATATATACTTCAATATAGTATGACCCCGAAATTATTTCATTATATTTATTCAAAAATTTTAAGATAATTTATGGAAACTCGAAGGCTGTTCTTGTGAACTTCAAACCCGCTAGATAACGCTGGAGCTTAGTTATTATGAAAAAACGAATTTTTAATTCGATTTCAAAATAAACATTATGGGTCTCACCCATGGTACATGAAACATCTTTCACTATTGTTAAAAGAGCCGAATTATTACAATAATCTGGTTAATCACACGATTAATCATACGATGAGTTCAAAAATTTTCCAACACGCACAGCTAATTTTATGATTGTGGTGGTTTGACCTCTACGCCTCCTGGACTAAACTAAACTAAACTAGTGTAATGGTAGGGAGGCATAGAAAGTAAATAGATTATGACTGTCAACTTACATCAACCTTAAAACATTTTGTAGCTCATGTAGCGCTTCGTAAATGCTAGAATATGTAATATAATAGAACGAGGACTTCAACGCAATTTATATAAGGAAATTTATCGTCAACACACCATATAAATACTTGCGCAACATAAAGGTCAATTTTATTTCCGGTTGGAATCTTGATTCTTAAGTTTAAAAACTACAAACTCCGCAAAAGGATGTCGCCTGAGGCACGAACTTTCAACGAATTCTTACGCATTCCTATCAGTTTTTACCAGACAATCGGTGAGGATCTCTATGAGCATCGCTCACCATATCGCATACGACGACTGTTGCACAAGTCACTGCTCTACATCGGTTTCATCAATTTCAATATGCTTGTGTTGGGTGAGATTATTTACTTCGTAAAAGCTTTGAACTCGTTTGCTACCGTTTTGGAGGCAACCGGTGTGGCGCCATGTATTGGTTTCTCCTTTGTAGCTGATTTTAAGCAGATCGCCATGACGGTGCATCGTGAAACCTTGCGTGAACATTTGGATCAAATGGAAGAGTTATTTCCAAAAACCGCTATGCAGCAAGTTGAATACAAATTGCCACAACGCGAACGTGTTATGCGACGTGTGATGGCCATTTTCACGTTACTCTGCTTGGCGTACACATCTACGTTCAGTCTTTATCCGGCGCTTAAGGCTTCCGTACAATACTGGCTTTTGGGTGCGCCATTGTTTGAGCGTAATTTCGGCTTTGCCATATGGTATCCATATAATGCCACAGAGAAGACTTGGGTCTACTGGGTCACGTATATGGGTCAAGTGCATGGCGCATATTTGGCTGGGGTGGCTTTTCTCTCGGCCGATCTGATATTGGTGGCCTCGGTGACACAGCTTTGTATGCACTTCGATTACATTTCACGTTGCCTAGAAGAATTTGGAGGCGCTTCGCAGAAGGGAAGTGCGCAAGAGGATTTACAATATTTGCAAGCCTTAGTGGTAAAACATGCCAAGTGTTTGGAGTGAGTATCGGGTGGTGAACAAAGTTGGGCGGTAGTGTTGGTAGTGATGTCAATATGCTAAGGATAAGTATTATTTGCTTTGTTTTGTTGCAGGTTGAGCGAACATGTCAACAGCATTTTCAGTTTCTCTTTACTACTGAATTTCCTAACCGCTTCGTTGACCATCTGTTTTATTGGATTTCAAATGACTGCTTCGTCTACAGAAGATATTGTAAAATATATTATTTTTCTAACGGCCTCGTTGGTCCAAGTGTTTGTGGTCTGCTATTATGGTGATGAACTGATGACAGCGGTAAGTGAATACAACAGTTTTACATAACTTTTAGTTTGCAACGAGCTTAAGTCCATTTTCCACTCGTGTTATTTTATAAGTACTACCTGATAATACTATGAAATTTTTTAACTCGATCCTTCATTTTCTTCACCACAAGGTCCCTCTAACTTTTGTCAACCTTTCCTCTTACGTAATGTTAGAATGTGTTTCGGAAACATTTGGCAGAGCAATCGATTTTGGTTTGAAAATGCGCGAATGAGGACTTGTTCAAGTCAAGTTCAAGTTGATATTACCAATACTAACAAATTCCCTTTTATTATTTCTATCTCTAACGGGTTCACTAATGACCGCATCAGAGATATTTAAATTTTTTTGCTATTGTACTCTCTGACAGTTTTATAAATAATTCGCTGAACATTTAACTGTAACACACCAAGCATCGACTTATCGTATGTTATCATTCCTCTCTCTACACGTGACTTATGTAGTAATAGAGAATTGACTTTTTTTATAAGAGTTATTCGAAGCTGAATTTCAAAGTTGACATTGTATCTAGTGCTGATCACCGGTTATACCGACATCAGCACTATCCAAACTGTTTACACGACTTTGAACCATTCTGTACAAACTATAACCGCATTAAGCACACAGTATTTGGTTAAGGAAAATATTTCCTTGTGACCGTGTTCAAAATCCATTAACCTCTATTATTAACTAATCCAGAGAAAACGAAATTAAGAACCGTCATATCGTGCCTATTTTTGTTTCCGCGACTCAAAGCGGTTTCCAACAATTCTGATTGAGCCGGTGGCGTTTAGAGACGATATCGAATGCGGAAATACCATAGAGAGATAATCTATTTCAATATTATATATTTCACTACTATGCGGCTCGCTTAACTTTTTTCTAGTTTGGATAAAATCCCTAACATTAGCGACAGTCAAATTGCTTTGGCATAAAGAAAATTCTTGCAATATGTATATCTTCATATTATCAAAGAAGTTCGGTATTTTGGTTAGTTATTTATTATATTTCACCGAGTGCTCCTTATCGTATGTATGAAATTATACTAGTTAGAAGTATACCATATACATTATTCTACATTTTCAGAGCCAACGCGTCGGCGATGCGGCCTATAACCAGAACTGGTTCGATTGTGACAAACGTTATAAACAGCTTTTAACAATAATAATAATGCGGAGTCAGAAGCCAGCTTCTATTCGTGCACCCACATTTCCACCAATTTCGTTTCGTACTTATATGAAGGTGAGCTTAAATTTTTTAAAACATCACCAAAGTCGAATAACTCATTATTAGTATTAAAGTTTAGTATTAAAAGTCTCTTCAGATAAAAATAAGTAAATAAAAGACTTCGATACCCAATATTCTCAATTACGAGCTTCTATATGCCTATATGACTCAAGAATGCCAGACTGTGGAAAGCGGAAATCAAGATCGGTAGTTCTAGGATTCTATCTCCTTCTTGCAATCCGAGATTTTAGAGTTAATACATATATATGTAAAACTACTGTTTTGTTTTCCAAATAGTTTTTAACCGTCCTTGCAACATGAGTTGTCATGATGGAAAATTATTGTCTCGGATCTAATCGCAAATTCCGGGTGGTCGCTCATTTCAATTTGATGAGTTGTTGTCGGTAGTACTGCCCCATTTATGGCTCATAATACAGCACCCCCTTTTGATTCCACCAACTATAGAATATTACCTTGGCGCCGTTACCATTCGACGTCGCCGTTGTTGTGGCTGGTTGGCCAGGTTTCACATATGTGTTTTTGCATTTAATCCGATACATTTCTGACATGCAAAAACGTCTTTCAACGTCTCTTGGCTTCAAGTCATATGGCAACCAATTTCCTTGCTTTTGAATATATCCGGTTGTTTTTAAAGCTTTTGAAATGGCTGCTTGAGCGATACCCAAAGATTCTGCGAGCTCATCTTGTGTTTGGCAACAATCTTCATCGAGTAATTCTACCAATTCCTTTTCTTCAAACTTGTTTGGCTGCGACTTTTGACACGTTCGCTTAGCTGAAGCAAGTTCACCATAAACTTCCACCAAAATGAGATGAGTTTGGCTGAGTTTTAGTCCATATTAAAGTAATGAGGAGGAACTCAGTTTGGCAAACGGCACGAATATATTTATAGACGCAATATTAATATTACCAATATCTAATTTAAATATTAGAAACTGAATTATATTCTCTGATCTTTTTATAGGTTATCAGCATGTCCTATCAATTTTTTGCGCTTTTGCGTACCACCTACAGCGGCAATGGAAACTAAATGTTTACGAAGGTTGTACTATATAATTAAATATGCATAAAAATAGTTATACGAATCTTAAAATTGTTAAAATATTATAAACAGAATTGAATAAAATTAATTATTAATAAAAATCTCCATATATGAATTTTGCCTGCAACAAGATTCAATTCATCTGGATCCAGATAGATATTGCGCGTACACATCTTTGGAAAATCGAGATCTTTCAGGGGATATTGCGATGGACAATTCGTTGCTGGTTTGCCATGAGTAAACAACATACCCTCGGTATGTCTATAGTAGGGATCATACAAACAAAATATGCAATACGCATTGTCATATCTATGAAGGAAATAAAATTATTTAAATGAAAAAGCATACTAGTGATTTTGTGGAGCTTTTCTTCTAAAGCACATTTACCTGGCAACACTACAACCTATACGTCTAATTTGTGGAAAGGCTAAATGCGTAAAATTATTTTCACCACTAAGAAGTCCTAACGTTTGATTGTGAAAGTTTTGTTTCTTGGGCGCTTTCATGTAATCCTTTTCAAAGTACCACCTATTCAAAGCCATTTGCAGCAATTCATGCGGCAAATAAAGCGAAGTGATACAAAAGCGGTTCATGGCTACAAACATTTCCCGTTGGTTTGCATGCATAATATTGATCAAAGTTTGTACACTCATCGGCAATGACGTGTGAGCGCATTCATCATCCTCATATGGTCGACATTGATGTGCCCAATTTTCCGCCATTGTCGCCAATTGTTTGCTCCATTTGCTCAGCACCATATCAGCGACATGCACACGGCTGGCGATACGTTCGCGTAAGCCATTGTGCGCCATAATGAGCTGATTTCGCAGATTCAAGTCTTCCAGTTCGGCGCTACCGTATATGTGGTATGATTTGTAGCTGCAGTTATGAACTTTCACCTGACAATAGATGGCGTTGCATTAGTAATCAAGAGATTGCTATGAATTCAGGGTGTAGTGATAAATACCAACCCGGTTACAGAGCGTATGTCGACGAGTGCCGCATTTCATTTTACAGAAATCATTTGAGAATGCACTTAAGGCGTGTTGACACAAGATCATTAGGCTTGCGAAAAAGAGTGCATAGCTGACAGCCACCTGCGATGACAGCATTTTAAGCGAGAGAGCTGGTCGATTTCAAACGACCTTTAATGAAACTTTTCGTTTGCGTTTATTTGAGAAAGGCGAATGTTTTGAAAGATATTTGAAATATTTTATTCTTCAAACAAAAAAAAAAAAAACTGAAAATAAGCAGGGGTTAAATTCGGGAACAGCTGGAGGTGTGTAAAATATATTAATCATATTAACAAAATATTTATTTAAAATATGGTGCATATGAATATAATATTTATTACTAAACGAAATTTTGAACGGTTTGTACCAATTTCTTCAATATTTGGTACTACTAAGGTATGCTAGCAGCTTTAGGGAAGGGTGGAGGTTTGTTATATATATATTAAATAAAAGTTTTTTAGCTTGACGGGTTAACTCAGACTAGAGACGAGACTAAGAGACTTAGAGTTTCATTCTTTCAGGTTTTATTAAACATATTATATTTGGGTATATTAGCAAGCTTTCATATCGACACACCTACTGGTCCAATCTACGAAATAACCCGCTTCAAGAGGGGCTCGATGAGCGACGCATTTAAGAACCTCGTGGGAAACAAAATAAGAAACGGGATCTTATTTTACAAAAAAATTTGCTAGTAATGTACTTACTACTACGTTTTTAGCTTTATATAAAGTTTTCACAAAATATTGAACTTTTTCAAAAATGGCAAATTTTTTATCGAAAAATGAGCAGCATTTTGTTTACAAAAAAGTTGATGATAACAAAAATGTCGTACGTAGTTTACTTGAAAATATCATTGTGTAGCTACAGTTAAGATTTCTAGAGAATAGATACGATTACTATCGTCCGGTATGAAAAATGGAAGATCGAGAAAACGCATTTAAAATTTTCGTGTTGAAGCTTGAAAACTATAGAGGATTCGACCGGGGAAAAAGTTTTTTTTTAGTATTCACTGAATTGAATAATGTTTTTGGGACCGTGAAGTCTACTTCGAGAGAAAAAAATGCCAGATTTGAAAATTCTAAGTTGGCTTAACCCCTTAACTAATGTCTAAGATATAGAACGATGCATTTCTTGTGGGCTTGCAAAGGTATGATTTTTACTAGATGTCTCGCCAATCTCCTAAGAATGCTAAGAAATATCAATTGTTGCTCAAATCATCCCTGATTTAGCTACGAAGTCAGACAGATATTCAAAAATCGATTGGAATGGTTATTGTGTGAATGTCGAGTATAAATGGGTAACTCCAGAATCTTATTAAGATAATATTAACACTTGATCAAATGTAACTCGCACTGGTCCATTTAAACGAAAAATGTTTTTTTTTAGTTTGCTGCAACCTTTTTTAAGTTCGTGTGAAGTTTGATGAATTTGATATGCATATATCCAATATCCATCTAGATTAGTTTGAATATTTTTAGGAGAAGAATTGTTAAGAGATTACTTGTTGCATGTCAACGCAAATTGTGCTCAGTTTAAAGCAGAATAATGTTACTCTAATAAGGTTTGGTGAGAGAATTATTTACTGCTTTTGAATTATTCGAACTTTTAGTTCAGAATTCTACTTTACGGCATTCTTCAAAATATGCCTACTTTTTGTTGTTATAATTAACCAGACAAATACAAATTAATGATGCATCGGAATCGCACATCGCATGCCACTTGTCAATTTCATGTCATTCAATTTGATTTATTGTCGATGTGTAGCTGACTAATTGTAGTAATATTGGACACTAAAGCATTACAACAATACTTTCATTTATAATATTAGTTAAAGGTCACAAATGCGAAATTATACACATAATTATAATATGCACCCTATAGGAAATACTCGAAGTTTAAGATAATTTCAAGTAACACTGTGAATGACTACAGTTAGCTGTATAAAAGTTTGTACAGTACGAAAGACTTTAAAACCAATGAAAAATTATATTAGATATAATTTTTAACTCTAACAAGTAAGGAAGGGCTAAGTTCGGATGTAACCGAACATTTTATACTCTCGCAAAGTCAAATGGTATACTCGTTTGAGATTTCTTTGTGGATTGACTGATATTTTCGGTAGAAGGTCAACTCTAGGCACTGGGGTCCACATATTTAGTACTTAGGGGTTTGAACAGTTTTGGTTCGATTTAGACAATTTTTGGCCGCAAGGTGGCATACTTTAATTGCATTATTCACGCAAAGTTTTACCCCGATATAATCATTGTTACCTGATTTGCATAGTGGAAAGTGAAAGAATCAGATGGAATTGAAAATGGTGTTACATGGGAAGTAAGCGTGGTTGTAGTCCGATTTCGCCCATTTTCGCACTGTAATATAGAAACATGAAAAGAACGTTATGCACCGAATTTGGTTGAAATCGGTTGAGCAGATCTCAAGATATGGGTTTTCACCTAAAAGTGGGCTGTGCCACGCCTGTCTATAATTTCTTTTTTAGGATATTTTATGACAAATTTTTATTTTATTATTATTTAAATGTATTTTTTTAATATTTAAATTGTTCAATGTAAAATTTTTATAAAGTACATATATGTATATATATGTATATAACACCTTAAGCTACTACTAGTTTCGATTTCTTACATGGCATTTTCATTATGCTTGTCAACTCATTGTTAACGTTGTAGTTGTTGACTCTATTGGCATTAACCTTATATAATATTAGAGTCGTTAGTGTGAATGTTGAGTATAAATGGGTAACTCCAGGATCTTATTACGAGAATATTAACACCTGATCAAATGGAACTCGGACTGGTCCATTTAAATGAAAAATGTTTTTTCCTAGTTTAAGTTCGTGTAGAGTTTGATCTCCATATGTCAATTAGTGTGTGTCAGCTGTCAATATTTATTTACGTAGCGAAAAATTTGTCTGTCGTTTTTTAACATGAAAAAAACAAATGAACAATGAGTTTGTTTGAAATTTTATTTTTCCAATCGAATCACGCTTACAGAAACATAGAAAATAATGGAGAATTATTTTAGGAAGTCGACTTTATCACAAAGAGAAGTATTTGAGTGGCATGAAGTATTCAGTGTAGACCGTAAAATCACCGAAAACTTACCTCATACGATTCATTCATCCAACTCTGTTAGTGACGATAACATCGAAAAAGTTAAAGTAACAGTGGTCGCAAATTGTCATGTAGGCATCAGGGAGATAGCAGAGGATCTCGACATCCCTTAGGATTTGACTTAAAACATTTTGGTTAATGTTTTGGGTAAGAAACGTGTCCAAAACGTAGCTGAGGATCCTACATTTATTCAAAGCATAATATCTGGTGATGCGATGTGGTTTTATGAATATGACGTTGAAACTGTTGAACAATCTAGCGAATGACGTTCCAAAAATAAACCGAACACAAAAACAATACGTCAAAAATTGAGGTGATGCTCATCGTTTTCTTGATTACCGTGGAGTAGTTTAACATCAGTTCATTTAACAGTGTCAAGTGATCAATAAGGAATACAGTTTGGCCATTTTGGGGCGTCGATATGAAGACACTCGTGGTAAACGACCGAACTTGTGGGATTTGTAAAATTCATGGATTTTTCACCAAATTAATGCGCCGTGCATTCTAGGAAGATTGTATTCGACTTTTTGGTCCAACAACGATCGAGAATTATCACCACTGTGTTCACTATATATGGATCCCTGTAACTTTTTTCTGCTAACGAAACTGAAAAATCAGCTTCAGGGAACGCGCTATGAGTCCATTAAATTTATTAGAGGTCATTCGTTGAAAGCACTGAAGGCGTCCCAGCCGTATCTTATAACAAGAGTATGTATAATTGCGTTGGCATGCGGGTATTGGCGCAAGAGCCTATTTGAAGGCTATTATAAGTATTTGTATTAAAATACGTGAAATGTTCGATCAAATGGTCTATAGCATATAAATTTGGTTCAAAATGGTGCGAGTAATATGTAAAATATGAAATTCCACTACTCAATTTATCTACTCTATATTTCTCTATATCTACACACTGCCTGTTGTGAATAATATCATTTTGTGGATGAACGAGTCTATATTTTACCAAGTCTGTATTTGAGCAGTGATTTGACCTCTTCTTATAAAGTCAAATATTTACCTGCTAGGGTTCTATGAAATATTTCTGGTAACTAATAGAATACTAACCATTTCTTTATTACTGGAAATACCCAAACGCATTGCATGTCTACGCGCACACATGTCTCTGGAAATGCGCATGTATGCGTAATTTATGGCTTGCGGAAACTAAATTAATTAAGTTAACATCATTTGCAAATACCTAATCAATTTATGGTCCTCTATTGTCTAGTGCAAAGCATACGCCTACAAACTTAAATGTGCACTAAGTGCATTTATGTGTATGTATGTTTGTAAGTGTGTTAAGATCATTTATAGTGGTGTAAAATTTGTTAATGATGCCACATATTATTCAAATAGGGGTGTTTAAGTTGCGATTTTCAGGGATTTTGTCGAATAAATGGTTTAAGGTGAGTAACATATTGTCTTTGCGCCAGAAGCTCAAATTTTACACGAAAGAGTGCAGAGAATTGTCTATAGAAGATTTTCTTGTAGATTTTTTCGAGACGCGGTAAGATGAAGAAGGTGTCTACGTAGATTGATACTGGAAAGTATTGTGATATGCACATTAGAGTAAGTCTTTTATATATCAAACATTGTTTACCATCGGCATTTATGAATTTTCTGTATTGAAATTTCTATATTGAATTCTTATTAATTTCTATATTAAAATGTCTATATTGAATTCTTATTAAATAGGTTCAGGAAAAGTATATATAAACTAACATTTTCCGGTTTGGAACTCTTGGAATGTATCAGTTACCAAAACTTAAATATCTATTTACGAAAAGCATAACAGAAATAAGTAGTTTCGTTGAAAGCACCAAATAGTTTGAACAAAATAATTAAACGAGGCGCATTTACCTGCTTTGCCAATTAATGATTTAATTTAGTCAATTAGCACTCTATCAACTGCCTGACTAAATTAAGAGTTGTTTGAAAGACCACTATGAGAATTAAGTTCTAAATTGTGATATCGAGTTTCTGACACACTTCAATTGGATCTCATAAAATTAGTGTTAGACAATATTTAGTTCTTTTTTGATCCATTTATAATAAAATAAAAATGATTTGACTAAATTTTTTCGTTATTTATAAGGTTAAAATTTTGAAAAGTATTTCATTTTCTTGCTTATACTTTTTTCGAAAAATATTTTATTTTATTTATGTACAATCAAGTGTTAACTTGCTTATAATATTCATTAAAGAGACGACATTGTTAAGGTACTATTCCGTTTGTTGAATAAAGTTAAAGGAAAGAAATTTCAATTAGTTTTTGGATTATTCGAAAGTATACATACATTCCCAATCAATTTACTAAACAACTGCCTTAATTGGATAGTGTCACTCAGTTGATTGTGAGTTTAAATCACAACTGCGACAAAGAAAAATTGCCGAAATAAAGACTTTAAAGATAACTTCTTCTTTTTTATTTTTTGGACTAAAAACTTAAATGATCATATAAATATGAAGGAATTTTGGTTTCACAACTTTAATGAGAATCATATAAACATAGCTAAGGGAGAACATAACCTCTAAATTTACTAAACATTTTTCTAAACTAAAGACGCGAGAACATTTTTTCCTCAAAACTCCATAAAGAAGTTCCGCAGATGTGCCCATAATATAATATTTGTTATAAAATCATCAATAAGTCAATTCAATTTTGCATTTCCCCAATATGCATAGTTCATAATGCGGCATAGTTAATACTCAGCCGCTTGGTTATGATCTCAACACTTTCAAAGAGAACAAAAGTATATCTGTATAGAATTATGTTTGTGTGTATAAATGTTGCATGCCACATGCATAACAAGGTTACTCAACGAGCTGCATAACAATTGTCTTCGATTTGGTAATGCTAGTAGAAAGCCTGCTATTCAAAAGTGCTTGCTGTTGTATTAAATGGTGGTGTAGCAACAATAGCAACAGCATTGTTATGCATTTGACAATAAGGACGTTGCAGAGTTGTAGTTGTGGCATGAAGAGCGCAGTATGAGGGTTGAAGACGTCTGGCATATCATAACCAGATAGTGGAAAACGTAGGATAATGATTTCATTTTTATCTCTTAATACATAAATATGTAGCTGGGATATTAAGGAATAGTCAATGCATGAATGCGCACAGCCAAAAATATTTTTCATAGAAAATGCCATAAAATGTTAGTGAAATTTTAATAGGCAATTAAGTGTCGGTGAATTTATGCATGTGTAAAAATTTTCAATTAAGATTTTATGAGGTTTTCCAAGCAGACAACGGAGCGTATACGTAATGTGAATTTCTAAAATTCATAAGTAATTTGAAACTAAGTTACTTTTTAGAAAAAAGGCTTAAAGTTAGAGAAATGTTTGTTTTAAGTACATATAATATATGGTAAGTAGAAGCGTAGATATTAAAAATTGTATTGACATCTTGGACATCGCTCTCATCAAAAAATAAACAATTTTATTATTTTTGTCGAGTTTTCATTTGACACTTTACTCCTATTAATTTTCTCAGTATTCACACATTTTTTTGCCTCTCAACCATGCAATATTTTCATATATATTTGCACTTTCCTCCACTTTCACCAATTTGCTACCAATTAATGTCACTTTAGGACTTGTAAATGGCATAGCACTCACAATAGTTGGCTGTGTGTGAGGCGAGAAAAAATTGAATTCCCACTTGTCGCCAATTTCAGTCAATTTTCGACATGGCAGACAACTCGGCCGCGCTTAAAAGGTGTGTAAACAAAAAATGTGTTGCATACCTACAGGCGTGCAATCACGCGCACATTTGCGCCTTTATCACCTGTTGCCGTTTTGCATAACTCAGCCCGCTACGCATTGCGCACCCAATATCTACACTACACATATTTAATAGCCAGTGGCTGCTGTTACCGTTATTGCTGACGCTAATTTTTTTTCATACTTTTTATTTTCGTGTCGCCGTTATAACGTTTCAACGCAATTATAGTGCCGTTGCCGCTGTGTGACGAGGCTCCACGTCCATCGTAAAAGAGATTGGTCTGTGACTGGGGTTGGAGCTGATTGAAAAGAGCGTGTTAGGGTATGCGTGTGTGTTTTAGCATGGAGTTGGTGACAGGCGCTGTGGGCGCCAATGACGTAGGCGAGAATGCAATTAGCCCAAATGTCGACGACTCAAGTCAAAAAGTATGAAAGTGCGAAGTAAGAATGTCTATGTGTAGATGAAAGCCGGATTTTTGATTTATTTGCTAGGAAAGTAGGAAAATATTGAAATTCTGAATTCGCAGGATTCGTCAGATTTACTGAAAATGTTGAGTGGGTCGCCATTGGGTATACCAAAAACAGTACTAGCGATTGTTTCTGCAAGGAAACTATATAAGAGGTACGTCTGGAATGTTGTTGGAAAAGCAATGGCATTTGTTTGTATAACTATGGTAGTTCTGTTCTGTTTAAAAGTGAGCCTATCAGTCAGTAGCAAACGTTATATAGGGCCTATAACTTTTTCAAAAGATGACGTAATTTGATTGTTATTCCATTCTTTCAATATTCCGAATATCAATGAAGAGTGTGTGATATCACACAATCTTGGTGGCCAAACGACCGTACCAAAACGTGAAATTATCTGCTCACCGTAGTGCTCTCTCAAGAAATCCATTGATTGATGCGATGTGTGGGAAGTGGCGCCGTCTTGTTGAAACCAAATGTCGCCGAGATCATAAGCTTCAATTTCAGGCATCAAATAGTCGGTTATCATGACCGATCATTTCACCGGCTCACAAACCACACCAAACCGTTGTTTATTCTGGTTGAAATGACAGCTCTTGAATCTCTTTAGGTTGCTTTTCGTCTTCCTTACGTCAGTCTGAGTTGATGGGAATGGTGCCGAATCGCCTTTCCACGCTCTTCGTGTACATTCTCAGCTACGACCGCTATATTTTCTTTAATGAATGCTGGGTCTCAAGATGGGTGATGGTGTTGCTAATAGTACGCTTAGTAGGCCGATTGTGTTGACCATAAGTTGAGCGAAGTGCGCGAAACACATTTTTTACTGAACGTGAATTTTCGTAATAAAGTTGAACAATTAATAAACGTTGTTCAGACGTAAGTCTCTCCACGATGAAATGCCAAACTATACTAAAAAAAATAATATGACATACTATCTGTCTATCCATACAGTACCAAAAAATGTGCAAAATTCGTGTACAATACTTAATATAAACTGTTAACCGATATCATTTCATTTGAACTAAGTTTTCCGGTCTATTTTGCTGAAAGCCAATTAAATGTCACTTTTACCAAAAGGAAAATAGCCCAAAGAAAAACTCACCGGATACGTGCATACATTTAATATTGCACTTTCTCTCTCCGAAAACCTATTTACATTTGTGGCCCAAAGAAGGCAACCACAAAGAGGAGAGAAATCAAAGAATAGCAAGCTAATCGCATATGAAAATTTAATTTTTCATTTAACAGCTCACCATTTGCGATTCGCTGTTCACTACTCCCTCCGAGTAAACAAAATTGGCAGCTGTGCTGCAACTGCAAAGAAAGGAAAGAGAATCAAATATTAAGCGCCGAAAATAAATGCATTGGTGGCAAAGCACATTTTGGGATATGCTTTGCATATGAGAAACCCTTCTGCGCTGATGGAAAACGAGGAAAGCAATGAAAAGCATTTATGCAAAGAGCAACTGAAATAGAAATTGGAAGCGAAGAAGCAGTAGATGATTCGTATACGTACACATGCACGTATGCACGCGAGCTATCCGATTTTGTTGTTTTGGGATATATTACGAGTATTCATAGAAATAGAGGTTAAAGTGGTAATGGCATACTCACAGTTCCATTGAGAGATCAGGCGTTACAACAAGTAGAATAAATAGCGATGTAATTGCATAGTTTCTTTGTTGGGGTAATATATAAAATATTGGAGAATTCGTAGACAGCTGGATATTAAATAATAATAATAACTTTAAATATTTTTCAGAGCAGCTTAGAGAAAACTCTATCCTCTATCTCCCATTTTACCAGAGGAGAGCGAAGAAAATTATTAATTGCATTAATTCGTGACATTAGTTTATCTGTCGATCTTTAAGTAACGGAAGGTACACGCGGGTTTTTGACAAATAACGGATATTTTTATTGAAAGTATAAAATCATTTTGTTACTATTTAATTCGATTGAGCCAATTTTTGGTTATTTACGTTCTCGTTAAGTCTGAAAATAATAATAATTGAATATGATTTGATAGTAAAATATAAATATATTGATTACTATTTCGTATTTTGTACGAAGTGAAATGCCTCTGGCTACTTGTAGATATTTAATCGACAAAGATGTTATAGATATTGCTGAGTATCAATCCCTAGTTTGTTCAACAAGCATGCACACTTTTCGTAAACGGAATATTTTCCGCCCATGCCGACTATTAAAATTCACAAGGAATGACATAAGAACTCTAGTAGGAGTGTTTACAGGTCACTGGAACACCAAACTATTGTAGAAGCTGTCAGGGAGTAGACGAAGAGACTATAGATTATCTTATATGCGAATTCAAACTATTGACCGAGGGTTTCTTGACGATGTTTCGAAGGTTGCACCAAAATAAATTGGTTTACAATAGGTCTGCGGTTATAAATAGGTCTGTGAGATATAACATTTTGTGTGCAGCAAGTTTTGGTATTTTGAAAACATTGATTAAAAGAAAATTTCGTGTGTTAAAAACTTACCTACTATTTTTATGAGATAAAAAGGTCAAAAGCGGTTTGTTGAGAGTTCTCAATACCCTCGAACAGCCGAAATTGATTAATTAAAATAGCTGTCAGTGTAAAGGCATCAAAGTACCGTATTAAATGTATAAAAGTAATACTCGTATAGCCTTATACGAAATTTTGAAGAATGAAGTCGAGGAAAAATGACTGAAAAGAAAATACTGTTTTATCAAGACAATACACAGTGTACCAAAAACTATGAAAATTACAGGAAAATATCACGAGCAAGGCTTTCTCGTCCATTATCAGGATCTTCTTCACAGCAACTCAGGCCTCAAGCGAAT